TTCCATATCTGTTGACATATGTTGGTTAACACTAGAGTTGACTCTGTCAATGTGGATTGCTACAGTTCTATTGGAATATCATCTATTCCTAGAGTCTTGTTTTTTTGCCATTTCCTTTATTGCAGCTTCCACCTCAGTTTTTAGAATTTGGGGTTCATCTTCATATGGCTCTTCATTCCATGTATCCTTCATGTTGTCATCTCTTTTTTATAACTGTCACACAGGCAGGACAAGAGTACTAACAGAGAGATAATTAGAAACTAAAGGAAAACACATTTGCAAGCTAAGAGCAGTCAAAAATGATGAAGCAAGCAGAAAATACTCTCAGAAAGACAAACTCCATCAGAAGCAGCACCACACATAAAATAGGGACATGGAATCTGAGAAGCATGAGTCAAGGGAAGCTAGACATAGTTGAAATGGAAATGTAATGCATGAACATAGCAGTACTGGGGGTGAGTGAGTTAAAATGGATAAGAATGGGCCATTTTGAATCAGACAACCAAACAGTGTTCTACTCAAGGAATGAAAAAACAAGAAGAAACGGGGTGGGTCTCATACTAAGAAAAGATATTGCAAAAGCAGTCAGAGTATATAATGCAAAATCAGACCGAATCATCTCATGGAAAACCTACGAATATCACCATAATTCAAGTATAGGCATCAACCACTGAGGCAGAACAAGAAGAAATTGATAGATTTTATGAAGGAGTAAGTACAGGAAGAAATTGACAACATACCAATACAGGATGTCAAGCTGATCATTGGAGATTGAAACACAAAGGTTGGAAGTAAAGACGAATCAAAGACAGTAGGCAGATTTGGACTAGGCAAAAGGAATGAAGCAGGTGAGTATCTAATAGATTTTTGTGAAGCCAACAACCTATTCATTGCAAACACATTTTTCATACAATCAGAGAAAAGGTTATACACATGGACATCACCAGATGGCCAACACAAAAATCAAATAGATTACATAATTGGAAGTACTGGAATATCTGGAATGTTTATGTAATGGCTGTATATATTTTTAAACTTTGATTAAAATACAAGTAATACAATGGGACAGCTAAAAAGACAACTACATGGGTCTTAGAGCAAATCAAGTCTGAGCTCTCCCTAGAAGCCACGATGACCTAACTTTAGCCATATCATGAGAAGCCATAACTCACTAGAAAAGACAATAATACTTGGGAAGGTAAAAGGCAGAAGGAATAGAGGAAGACTGCCCTACAGATAGAGACTCATTGGGGATGCAGACGAGGGCGTCCAGGACGCCCTGGTCTGGAGCGCCGCGGGGCCATGGCAGCCGCACCGCGGCGCTCCTGTGGCGTACCTGGAAGGAGCGCTAAATCAGCGCTCCTTCCTCAAGACAGGGAAAGTGCGCCCTAAAAGCGTCGGGCGCACTTTCCCTGTCTTTTCCGCCGCAGCGCGTCTGGTCGCTGCGGCGGGAGGTTGTCCCCGGAGCGCCGGCCATGTGGAGGGCTGGCGGCTCCGAGGACGACCTTAGGGAGAGGAAGGAGTGCCATGCGTGTGGCTGCTCCTCCTTTTCCTGGCCTCGGAGACAGCTCAATTAGCCGTCTGCCAAGGCCCTCAATCAAGGAAGCCATATCCCTGAGTCTGAAAGATCTGAGCCAGGCTGTTGAGAACAGGGTGACTTGGAGGTTTCTCATTCATGGGGTCACCATAAGTCAAAATCAACTTGATGGCAGTTAATAAAGCAAAATACAACAGTAAAAACATTGAAATACAGTAAGATAATATAAAAGCTGGTGTGATGTTGTTTATTTATTTATTTATTTGGAGTATTTATATCCCAGTCTTCAGCCGCAAAGGCTCTCAGAGCAGCTTACAAATGGTTAATTAGATGGTTCCCTGCCCTCAGGCTTACAATATAAAAAGACATGACACAAAAGGAGAAGGAAATGGAGGTGGGGAAGGGGATCAGGTCCAGCAGTTCTTCTCTTCCTCTGAGGCCTAGACTATGGTAGATGGACTGGAGGGAAGGCTCTTCTTCTTAGCCTAGGCTAGACCCGATGGAGCTGGGCCTGTTTCTCTCCCTCTGAGGCCAGATGGACTGGAGGAAGGGCTTGTTATTGTTTATTTCTGTGCCTCCTTTAAGCTAAACATCTCCAAACATGTAGAAAGGCATATAAATAAAGTATTTAAATAGAGCAAAATACAATAAAGTACAATGACAAATTAAGGTAGTCATATTGCAGTACATATTTAAAACTAACATACACTCACCACTACACTAAGTCAAACCACATCTACAGTCTTTCACCAAAACAAACCCAAATAAACAAAAATGCTAAAAGGAGCCAGAATGCTCGTCCCTAAACATTTTATAATGTTTCACAATTGATAATATCTATCTCTTCCCTGCAGCACCTCCTTTTAATTTTTCATATGCAAAGAAGTTATGTAAATATATAAGCTTAAATCCGGACTCTAGTGCCAATGAGAAAAGACCCACTGAATCATATGCTGAATGGTAAGGTAGCTCTTACTTAAATAATGAGTGTGGGCCATTAATTCAGTGAGTGTAGTCTTCTTGAGACTAGCAGTTGGATATAAGTCTTTGTGGCGAATCCTCTTGCCACTTTCACCATAGCACTAATTTTTTAAAGGTGGCAGTCCTGGACTACCACCCAAATATGTATAAAAGGACCCACACTAAAAGCTTTAAAAGGTTAGTAGCGCGGTTTGGTTTGAAAACATAGGCCAAGTGATGTTTAAATGAGAATAAAAGTTTATTCTAGAACAGAATGGAATAAATATAATTTGTATCAAAGCTTGTCACTATAGTTTCTCTTGGTTATATATAAACAATGTTTGTTTCCAATTCCCTTTCAATATTTCAACCACACAGGTTTGCAATATCCCTCAGGATATAACACAACGGCAACTCCCTTCCTTAGAGTTCTGTATCTGTCCCGAGTCCCTCCTGTCTGGACTCCAACTCACAAAATTTACAGTTCCCTCAGGAACTCCCATAAATGCAACTCTCTTTATCTGGCTTAACTTTCCCCAAACCCCCAACTGCTGTCTCCAACTGTCAGCTTGAAATTTTTTCCCCAAGTGCTCCCAGCTTGAATTCTATTCGTTGGTCCTCAGCTGCCTCCTGATTAGCCAACTAGACATTCTAATCACCACAGTCTTAGGGTCATATCAAACAGTGGCCTTTCTGTTCATGTAAGAACCTTGATCAATCAGAGGCTTCAGTTAATGAAAGGAAGGGATAGAGGTGACTTTTGCTGATTTCTATAGGCCTCTTTGCTTTTCATCAAATCTGTTCCAAGTAGGCATCCTTTGGAATAGCATGTAATGTGGTAAGAGGGCTGCAGAGCAAGTCTGTACAATTTCCCTTGCCGCCTTCAAATCATGGAAGCCGCACATTTGACAGATCTGTCTACTTCCTCAGATGCAAGTAGACTGAAGTCTATGAAAGCTCATGCTGCCAACTTCTTTCTTTCAGTTAGTCTCAAAGCTGCTACAAGATATCTCTACATACTGATTCAACATACTAACATGGCTATATCTTTGAATTCTGACAGACCTGTACTTGACAATTTTGAACTTTGGACCCTCAAACATGGCATACGACACTTTAGTTCTTATTAGCTTTGTAGCAGCTAAAGGTTGAACCTTGGAATAGCTTGTCTTCATGTGCTGTGTAGATACTTCTGTGAGCTTCTCTCAGATGGATGAGACCTGGGATTCATTTTGTGCAACAGACAGTTACCATACCATGACTCCACTTTAAATGCCATAGCTGCAACCTATGGATTTTGGGGTTTATAGTTTGATAAGGCACTAGAGGAACTACCTGGCTAATAATTCTAAATACCACTCCCTAAAGTACAAATCCCAAGGTTGAGACTAGCAGTTGGATATAGGTCTTAGGGTCATGGAATCATAGCACTCTTATTAGTGTAGTGTGAAAGGGCCCCTGGTTTCAGAGCCAGTTCCAAAAATAAAATCTCTTTAAAATCTAGTGTACCTGACACACTGTCCTCTCACCCAGCAGTTAGGTAAGAGGTGATAGAAGATATAAGAGGGAGTGGTATTGGGCATACCCTGCTTTCAAGATATTTGGTCACTATCAGAGATCGGTCTAGCCTTGTCTCATGAGGGGGAATGAAACTGGCCAAAAGAGAGTATGCAGTACTCTGGCCACTTACTCATTACTCCACCAAAAGAAGGGGAGTCTTCAATATGTGCCTAAAAGTAAGGATTGTTGAAGCATTCTTGATCTCAGAGGGAAGTGCCCCAGTTTCCATATTTTTATTATGGACATTTTATCTGCAGCTATTAGATTTTACAGGTACTCTGCCTTCAATGGTTTTATAAAGTAGAAGCAGATGGCTCCAGAGTGCTGAAACAATTTTGGGAGGTACCATGGATATCTCATTTATTTTCTGGGCTCCCCCATTGACAGGGGAGGCAGTAGCTCATACTGGTTTTGTAACCATCCAATGTGTCTGGAGTTGTTAGCTGCTTTTAAACCAGAAGCAACCTCCAAAAAAAAATATCCTGCAAATGTAAATGGGGGAATGGCAAATGGAAAGGGCACAGAAGACTCTGCAGGAGTAAAGAACAGGATGATAAGGCTCTAAGGATTACAGGCAGTAAAATCTGAAGTGTCATCTCTTCTTTTTTGTAACCTGTCTGCTACAAGTTCTTTAGGGTAAGCATTTCTTTCAGTCCAACCACCTTAGCAGGGCCATTTGGTGGATACAAGGGAGAAGATTTTCTTGATGATTGAGTCCTAGCTTTGGAGCTTCCTCCCTTCCTAAGGAAGCCAGGATGGCTCTCTCCTGATTGTCCTTCTGTCCTTAAGCGAAAACTTTTCTAAGACAACAGGCTTTTAGAAATTGACCATAATGGGATTTTTTTTTTTTTTGGTGTAATGTTTTGTTGGCCTTTGTGTTCTTTTAATGGGTTTAAATGGTTTTAATTCTATAGGCTGCTTAACTGCACTTTAATAATACATCTGTAGCTTGGCATAGTGGTTTGAATGTTGAACTAAGACTCTGGAGACCAGGGTTCAAATCCCTGCTTTGCACTGGGTCACCTTGGGCAAGTCACACTCTCTCAGACTCGGGGGAAGGCAATAGCAAACCTTTTCTGAACAACTCTTTCCAAGAAAACCCCATGATAGGTTCACTTTAGGGTCTCCATAAGTTGGAAATGACTTGAAGGCTCACAACAACAACACCATAGGTTTTTATTGATGTTTACCTATTCATTTTAATCTGTATTTGTTTAAATCTTTGTAAGCCACCTTGAGTCCCAGTATTGGGGGGAAAGCAAGTTATAAAAGAATAAATAACAAGACATCTGTTTTTATTAATCCTTGTTTTGGTTGGTTTTGTCCTTTCTTGGGTACTATTAAAGGCGTTCAAACAAAATATTAAAACAATTATCTCTGGGAGAATTTGTCACAATTAATATTTTTACTAACATTTTACCTATTTGCAAATTTCTAAACATTCAGAACTTGTAATTTTAAGAATCTGAATCTGGGAGAAATCAAAATGAACAGGCATATTTGTTCACTGAGGTCTTTGAATATTTAAGACTCTGGGTTTATTTCCCAATGAATATGGCCACAATAATACTTAGTGTTGTCACTTCTTTTGCAAATAAGGGATAGTTTCAGTTCAGTTCCTTTTGGGGGGAAATTACTTACTTTTGTAAATGTTTTTCTCTTTAGGGATATAAAAAACTGAAAGGTAGGTTTTTTTAAGATAGCAAAACTGATAAATTTCACCATTCCCACCATTATGTGCCTTCTGAAATCTCCCAGTATATTGTGGTGGCTTTAAGAGTGTATAAACATTAATCCAGAAAATCCTAGGCTCACATTTCATGATGCAAACCACCATTTGTGACACATTACACCCTAACTGGTGCAATCGAGATAATAATACTGGGTGAAGATAATAATACTGACCAATACTGCTATAATAATCAAGATAAAATGTGTGGAACATTTATTATGTTACAAATATAAGCAATGTGAAACAAGACGTATGTGATATGGGTGTTCAATAATGCTTGTATAGATGTGAAATACTGTTATTAATAACAACTTGTCTGATTTTTTTGCAGGGTGAAATGGAAAGTGCTGATCGGTTCTGTTGGAAAAATGGAAAGGCCCTTTGAGATCACGTTGCTGTATTCAGGCTGTAGAGAAATGAGTGCTGGGCTTTTGGCACTGGGCTCATTGCAGCTCAGAAACTGCTTTCATGGTATGTCTTGAATGTACTCATTCAGTTCACAAAAGTCAGGAGAGTTGTTTGTTTGTATCTGTGTGTGTTTGAATTTTTTGCAAAAATTGCACTTTCTTAATAAGAAAGAGAATTAGCAGCAGTTTACTTGGTTTTTGATGGTGTTTCACATTGAAGATAAGAAAACTTGAAAAAAATTACATCTGTACATCAAATAAATGGCTATATTGCTAAAGTGATATTGCTAAAAAAAAATTTAAAAAGTAATTCTTTTCGGGTGGGAATTATGGCTGGCATTCTGCTCAGTATTTTCATAAGGTGCATTTGCAACACTGTAATTATTGGGATTCACATGTATGAGCATTCCACCATTGCAACAACCAAATGTGTCCCTCAAACCTATCTTTGATGACAGGTAGCCCCACTAACAGAAGGAGTTCATAAATGCTGGAGAACGGGACACTGAGGGTCCAGCCCTCTCCTGGCAACAAGTTGTGATGAGACAAGCTGTGGCAAGAAGGCCTCTTGTCTCAGCTACTTGTGGCATCACACATTGCTGCCAAAAGATGGGCTGAATGTGTCGTTACCCAGTACTTCACTCTCCAGCACCTTTGGAAATCCTTCTGTTGTGGGGGCTGCCTGGCTTCAAAGGTAGATTTTTGTGGATATCATTAGGAGAAGGAGCTAACACAACAAATCTCTCTTATCATAGCTATATTGCTGAATGTGGAATCTTGGCCTATGTAAATATATAGGATAGGACACAATTGAGCTGCTATTCAATAGAAACTGTTAGTCAGTAGCAGGAGCATTATTTCTTTATTATTAACACCCCACACACACACCTTCAAAACCTATCCCAGAGGACTAGGATACTATCCAGAGCAGAGTTTCTGTCAGAGTGGAGAGCAAAAGTCCCAGTGAAATAGCAAAGAAGAACTAGTCTCATGTTAGATTTAGACCACTTGTAGTTGTTATGTTCATTCAAGTCCTTTCTGACTTATGGTGACCCTATCATGGGATTTTCTTGGCAAGATTATTTCAGAGGAGGTTTGCCGTTGCCTTTCCTCTGAGCATGTGACTTATCCAAAGTCACCTAATGGGTTTTCATGGCCAAGTGAGTTTTTGAACCCTGATCTCCAGAGTCATAAGTCAGTGCTCAAACTACTACACCATGCTAGCTCTATGCAAACACTACACATATTTACCCTACACATGTCCTTCTTAAAATCGATCTGATATAAATCAGCTTTAACAAACAGTTTTGGATAGGTCCAAAATGGCATTAAATTTTAAAATCAACTATTTTATATCAACTATTCCCCATAAGTTTAGGGACAACAGACAGTTTTAGAAGGCTTTGAATAAATACTCTTGTTATATATTTCTGACTTTATTAGAATTTAAAAAAAATGTTCTTAACCATTTCATTCTCCTTTTCTAGTTTCTGTGTGTTTTTTTAAATAAAAAACCAGTAATAATACAGAAAGGATTTATTATTCTTGTGGCTTAGATGTTTGAAATGTTCATGCTAGAGGAAATATTTAGTGAAAGATATATAAAACAGAAAGGGAACTTGAGTGATTTAAGACAGACTTAATGATTTATCAATAGGACTGAAAAATGGAGTATATGCATTTGTGAATGTAAAGAAATACAGTGACAGAATGAAGGAAGAACTGAAAAAGCAGACAATAAATTTTCCTTACTGATAACCCAACTGCCAAGCCCCCCCAGGGAATCTAATGCTGGAAGGCACCATTAAATGCACCACCTGCAAAGGTCACCTGCTTGTTTTTGAGGAACTGAACTTGTCAGGCTTAATTACTTGTTTTCTTAACCCTGAAATAATATGTTGCCTCTTGAAAAGAATGTCTTCCCTTTCTGCACATGAATTTTAATGGCTACATGACAGCCTTTAAACTATGGAAATGAATAGTATGCAACTTTGTCAACACTGCCTTTCTTGTTAGTCCTGAACTAAAGACTGGTGAAAATGTGCATGATCCAGCCTCTTAGACTTTAGCATTAAAAGGCTGAACAGACTGGCACTTTAGACTGGCCTGGAGTGGACTGGGGGCATAGTGATCGCACACCAGCCACCTCAACTTTGCCCCATGCCAGCTTCACACTGTGCGCCCCACCACATGGCAGGAGGCATCAGGGTGCTCCCATGGTGCAGCGTTCACACGCTGCACCAAAGGAGCACAGAAAAGCCACCACCTCAGCAAGGGCACTTTTTTGCCACTCTAAAACGGCGCGTCATTTTGCCAGCTGTTTTTAGAGCAGCAAAGCACCAGATTGGGGCTGCAGCGTGTGGTTGCCGCAGCCCCGATTTGGCAAGGAAAGAGGCGGCTTGCCACTGTCCCTTAAAGACAAGTCTGTTCAGCCCCTAAGTCAAGTGGCCAAAGAACCATTTCTCTATCGAGGCCCATTAACCCATAAAAACAGGAATTCTTACGCACACACACACACTTACTTGTTGTATTATACAATGGATGGGGTGGGAGGGGGTTTATGGGGATAAGGCTTGTTTTAACTTTGTATGTTTTAAAATGTTGTAACCTGCCCCAAGTGCAGAGCAGAGGGGCGGGCTAGAAATAAAAATTTATTATTATTATTATTATTATTATTATTATTATTATTATTATTATTATGGACCCTCCGTATTGGTGTGCTGGCAATCCACAGATTTGACCACCTGCAGATCACCATGCCCCACATTACTTAATGATGACATGTGTATGCAGATGCATTGACACATCTGCGCACGTGTCTCTGCCATTGAATAATACAATGTGTGACTGCATTTTTTTACCATCTATGGAGTGGCCTGGAACTAAACCCACACACATGCTAAGGATCCACTATATGTTCTTAGTCAGATTTGGGATATTAGAAAAATATCTAATTTGTAGGAAGATTTGTGTCTGTATGCCATTTCTTCAACTTCTAGTTGCTCAGGTTGGAATTCACTGGGATTCACACTACACAATTATAGTACTATGATTCCACTTTTACTGTCATGGCTTCATCCTATGGAACCCTGCAATTTGCATTTTAAGGAGGAGCTATTAAGAACTCTCAGCCAGAGGGCTCTAATGCCTCACCAAATGACAAATCCCAGGATTCCATAGGATGAAGCCATGGCAGTTAAAGTGGAATCATAGCATTAGAATTGTACAGAGTGAAGAAGCCCACTGACTAGGGGCTTGTCTACACAATTAAAATACTCCACATTTCAGGTGAAAGAAATGTGATCCAGACACATGCGATTCCCATGAGTTCATTTGGGGGGGGAGAGGGGCTCCTTAAACTCTACAGGAAAGGCTTTGTGGTTTTTACAGGAGTAGTAATCTTTCACACAAAAATCCTATACAAATCCTCTCCTACCAAAACAAGGCAATTTTGGCCAACAAAAAACTTACACAACAAGAATCTTGTGCATAAAGCAGAAATTTTGCATAACAAACATCTTACACAAAAAGAAATTATGTGCAAAATCCAGCAATCTTGCTCCCAAAAATAGATACATGGCTTGTTGTATAAGATTGCTGCTTTCTGTGAAATACTTTTGTTGAACAAGATGCTTGTTGTGCATGATTTTTGTGATTTAATAGCTCTGATTATTTGGATAGAAAAAGATCTATCTTGTACCAAAAAACCACATGGATGCAAGGCATCCGTGTATTGTTTTGTTTTTTGCACAAATCCTGTAATTCTCATGCAAAAAACCCCACATCTATTTCTGTGCAGAATAATTTCCCAAAACACTTCAGTAATTGTTTTTTCCACAGTGGGGAGAAAACTGTATAGTCCAATAGTAACATCCC